TTCTTAATTCCGCCGCTACATGTATTCCTGGCGTAGCCCTACATTTTGAGGGTTTTAAAAAACAAAAATTAGCCTGTTGAACTGAATTGAGCTGAGTTGAGATTGTGCTCGTTTGTTTTCAGGCTAGGCTTGGAATAAGAATTTTAACTAGCCCAACCTAGCCTGCACAATATAAAATATTAATTTTATTTTTATATTATTTAGTTACAACATAATCTCGAAAATTAATAAAAGGTACGGAAAAAAAAGTATAAGCAGCAAAAAAAAATATATATATATATATATACATTTTTGGGGGGCTTAAATTAAAATTTTGTTAAAAGGCCATTGTTTATTTTACAATTAGATTTTGCTAATATTCTAAATTATAATAATTGTTAAAAGGTTTTAAATAATTTAAATTTTCTTCAAAGACAAAAATAAATAAATAAATAAATAAATTAATTAATTAATAGTCCATATCTATTTGATTAAATGGGTTAGCTTGGAATTTAAAAGTTCTTTTATGATTGTGCTTGGGATAACAAGATTAAACCTGATGTTGGATCAATCTAGGCTTGAAATGAAACACACTTCTATTATATAATACAAGTTTGTCCTAACACCCGTCTGACTTTAGATTTTTCCACTCCTACTGCTACCAGCAGAATCACAACAATTAACACCATTACTAATACAACCAATACAATATTAGTTTCAAAATAATAACAGACCATAAAAAAAATTAAAAATTCATAAGAAAATAATTATAAAAAATATTTTTGGCCAAAGATAAGCATTAAAGTCAAATAATCACATCACAATATTATTCTTCTATTAATTTTACTATCTAAGATTGACCTTTAAAGTCAAACTTACATTCTAAGATATTAATCACATGTCTATTGATTCATGCTAGATGCTCCACATACATTCATTCCTTTTTCATTTAAAATATTTGCTTTTAAAATTATATAATTTTTCCTTGATTTTATCTGATTCATGTTGACTAACACGAGTCATGTTGGCTAGTTAATTTTAATTTATTCGTCGAATATGATCCCAAATGGATCAAGACAGCCTAAATATGACAAAAAAATAATTTCTTGGATTGCCTCCCTCAAATAGAATAATAAGATCATTATTTAAAGACAATATACAGTGTTTCAGAAACAAAAACTAATATTTAAACATTGTGTTTAGTATTCTAATCACAGTGACAACTCTTATTTCTGGTTTTGTCCTTTTGGGTTTGGCTTGTTATATAGAAAAATAATCCAAGATGATATAATATTTAAGGTATGATCTGAGCTGCATTATTATTCAGACATCATACACCACCAATTATAAAAAATTATACAAAATCAAATCACAAAAACGACATAATCACTTATATTGTGAAAAATTCAAAATGCATAAAATTTAATTAGAGAATCAGATATAATCCCTGTACATATTCACGTAAAAGAACCATAACAATTTACTTGGGTGGAGCAGTTTAGTCTGTTGACTAATCGTTGTCTGCCACATCAGTAGTTGTTGGATTACTTACTGATTTTTTACGTGTAGGAAAGTTTTAAGCTTCCAAAGTGGCATGAGTTCAAAGCAAGCCTTTCAGTTCATACTATTTGTTTTGTTTTTCATTCCTTGTTTGTTCATAGCGAAAATTATACTCTATTCCTCTGACTATGAGTCATTGTCATTTACCCCTCAAATAAAAATTACTACATTTTGTCCCTTAGTTTTCAGATTTCTTTTAATCTAAACCTTTTGGTAACATTTTATTATGTAAGAGGATAGAAAAGTGACATGTGAGTTGTATATGTCAATTTTATGGCCAAAATTGGCCAAAATGCAAATTCAATAGCTGATTTATTTACATTTATATGATGAGATATATGTATAAATTTTCTCTTTTCTATGAAGTAGTAAGTGAAACAAAATATATATACATGCTACTTCTTTTTTTTTTTTTAACTAAAGAGGAATATACATATCGCAAATATGTATATAAACCAACTTTTGGATAACTATTTTGGTAATAAAATTAATATTTATAGTCCATTTTCCTAATAAAATGTTTTTAAAAACTTGATATAGAAACAAATCAGAAAATCAATGGGATGCAAAAATTAGTAATTTTTAATTGAGGGGTCAAGTGTAATGTGCCTTGGTTCTTAATTTGGTCTTGCAACAATAAATATATATATATATATATATATATAAAGGGCAAAATTCAATTTACCCACCTGTGGTTTACGCTCGGAGCACTTTACCTCTTATAATTTAAAAATAAATAGAGAACTCATATGTGATTTTAAACTAAATTACAACTGTTACGATTTCGGTCAAAACTAATGGAAATGGACTATACACGCGAGTTTTGTGGGTGGGATTCTTTTCTTTTTTTTTAATTTATTTTTATATATAATTAATGTGAAATTAAAATGTAAAAAGACGTTTTTACCCTCAACTTCATCATCAATTCCAAAACCTAACCAACCACTCTTTTTCTATAAACCCTAATTCAATCTGGCCATCTCGTTTCCCTCACCCTGACCAGCCACCATTTTCCCTCCCTCACGGGCCATTATCGTCACCTCCTCTACCATCGTTGATCGTCATTGTCATCTCTGACCGTTGTCATCGCCTCTTCTCCCATCTTTGACTATCGTCATCGCTTCCTCGCCCATCCCCAACTATTATCATCACCTCCTCTTGCATCCCCAACCATCACCATCGCCCCCTCTCCCAATCCCGACCATCGCCATCGCCCCCTCTCCCATCCCTAACCATCATGCTTCATTACTGTATGCATACATATAAACATATATATAATTATGTGATAATTTTGAGAAAACAATTGCCAAGAAAGGAAGTGGAATTGAAGACTAAAAATTGTATGCTTTGGGAACTTGTTGCAGCAGAAATCTGTATTTGCTTGTGAAGGATCTGGTTCAAGTGATTCCATGAGATGTTAAGGTATGTGTACATATGTATTTATATATTTGGAATTTCCTATGAAATGTTAAGGTGAATATATATATAGAAATTGCCAGAATTTCCTTTTTTTTCAATGTAAATATATATAGAATTTCTGAGAATTTTTAGATTATGCTTTGGGAACTTGTTGCAGCAGAAATCTGTATTTGCTTGTGAAGGATCTGGTTCAAGTGATTCCATGAGATGTTAAGGTATGTGTACATATGTATTTATATATTTGGAATTTCCTATGAAATGTTAAGGTGAATATATATATATATATATATAGAAATTGCCAGAATTTCCATTTTTTTCAATGTAAATATATATAGAATTTCCGAGAATTTTTAGATTTTTCAGTGTGAATTTCCCAGAATTTTTCTATATATATATATATGTTGGTGTGAATACATAGGGTGTATATACATTTATATGTTTTAAAATCTGTTTGTATATATAAATCTGGTTCTATAAATCTATTTGTATATATAAAATATGTTTGTGCGTATATATAAATCTGGTTGCATATATGAATTTTGTGTATAATAAAAGAGAGGGGAAAAATTAAAAGAAGTACACAGATGAAGAAGAAAAGCCTGAGGGGTCTTGTGGTCATTTCAAGCTTGTCGTTAACAGAGTTTAAGTTTCAATTGAATCCAAAATCACATGGGGTTCTCTGTCTATTTTTAAACCATAGGGAGGTATTGTGCTTTGAGCATAAACCACAAGAGGGTAAAGTAAATTTTGGTCCAAAAAAAATTGTCCGGCAATACATTAAAGCATTTCAAACCCTGTTAATCCACGCCCAAAATTTTTTAAACTTGATTTTTTAGAAACATGGACTCAATTAGACAACAAAACCTTCACCACACAAAGAGGTCAAGGGTTCATGTAATGGCCACAATCGTACTATAAAAACTACCCTTCCAAGAAAGTTCCTCAATCGTACCTACGAAAAATTTACTACTTAACTAGAGTGCACTATTTTACCATGACATTGTTGTTGTTGCTACCACTACTATTCTTTCTTTCTTTTTTCTAAAATAATATTTTCACTTCACTTTAAATTTTTTACCTTCTTTTTGTCTTTTAATCTCTCAAAAGGGAGAGTGAGAGGCCAAAAATAGGGTGCAAATCTAATTACTTTTCTTTTAATTAGAAAACTAGAACTTCACTATCAAAGAAGTACAATAAAGCTTGCAACAAAGAAAGCAAAACAACAAATCCATATGGAGATCTTCAAGATAATCTAAGAATAATTAGACCCTAACAAAATAAAAACATAATACAATTCTAATCTGGACAACAAGCAACCTAGTTAACACCAGACTAGAAAAGGATTCAGATAATTTCCATTATATGGATAAAATGGTAATGTCATTGTATTTTCTCGTTCATACATGTGTCTAACTATGTTCATAAAAGCTTGCTTATTTTCTAGTGATTGGGGAAAATGGAAATCAATCCAAATATTGTTTTGCATACAGAATTCGAAGCACAAATTAAATTTTCTCTAGATTAAACTTGTGAAAGAAAATGAACCAAACAATATTGCAGATGGAAACAAAACAAAGACGGATGGCATATCTTTTTTTTTTTTATCAGCAAAGAAAAGAACTAAATTGATGAAGAGGAAAAACTAATACAACAATAGAGGAAAAAGAGGATGAGTACAAAAAGCATCATAGCATGCCAAATCAATCCCAACTAAGTTGGCACCAATAAAACCACCCAATCATATGCTAGCACACCATCAACAGTTGGTAAGGAACCAACCACAAACACCCAAAAACAACCTCACCAGACAAACCAAAACAAGAAAACAAAATACAACACCATAGAGAACAACAACACTAGCCCAACTACACCACATCTACACTGGTGGAGAAACAAGCATCTGAACCAGATTTGAAAACCCCCAAAAAAAAAAAAAAATTTGTTTGGCGAAACGTAGTGAAGTGATTGCATTGCCAAGGGTTTCCTTGTCATACTTAAAAATGTTTCCTAGATAAAAGCCCCCCCCCTCTAAATTTGTTTGGTGAAACGTAATGAAGTGATTGCATTGCCAAGGGTGTCCTTGTCATAATGTTTCCTGGATAAAAGCTCCATGAGAACTAAGCCACAAACAACTTTCAACTTTCAAAATTCCTGTCTTATGCTATTTTTCCGATAATTCAGAAACTTTAACACTACCTCTCTAAATCAAACATAAACAAATTGTCTACTAAAGTTATCAGTTCATTATGCAAAAGCCGATCCAATTGCTTGTCTTACGATCTTGGAGATCTACAAGTCAAAACACCAACTTGATTTGTATAGCAAGTTTTGGCTCCATAAGCAAACAAACAAAGCTTCTTCTAATGCACATTGGACTTCCTGCAGGACAATAACATTTTAGCAGTAGCAGTAGCAGTAGCAGCAGTAACAATAATAATAAACAAGAAAACCCATTTTACTGCACGTGATTTGCCTTGAAGCTCCTCACCAAGGATCCTCTAGAGTGAAATTTTCTTAAAGTTTCCTAGAGTGCTCCATTGTGTGGTTGAGATTCACTGGCAAGTCACATCAGAAAAATTGATGTGACTTGCCAATAAATCTCAACCACACAATGGAGCACTCTAGGAAACTTTAGGAAAAAATCACTCTAGAGGATCCTTGCTCGAAGCTCCTTACCCGTTTGACTTTTAAATATACGCATATGACCCTCAGGTAATTTTGGACTAATCTGTAGCACTTACTCCGTGACTTTTTCTGTTATAAAGACATTTATACCCTTTTAATAACACTCCACCACCAACTCCATTTTTTTTTTTTTTTAATAGACGACCTTCCCTTGCAAATTGAGTAATTTCACTATCTTAGAGCATTTTAACAAAGTAGATAATTCAATTTTTAGTCAAAAATAGATAGTTATGTTCCACAAAATAAATAGTTAGTTCATCTTGATGTTCTGTGCATTCGCCTCTCTTTATTGATATAATTGTGTACATTTTGTACCTTTCGTTGTTCATCAATAAAGTTTCTTTTTTTTTTTTTCCGATAAAAAAAAAAGAGTCTTAAGTCTTCCAAAATAAAAAAAAAAAAAAAAAAAAAAAAAAAAAAAAAAAAAAAAAAAAAATTTTTTTTTTCAAAAAAAAAAAAAAAAAAAAACTTCAACAGCCTAGATTGAGGGGTTAGTTAATTTGCAGATGAGTTACAGTAGTTAGTCGAATCTCACTAGCTACTATTTACTAGCTATTGAATTTGATGTCATTTTTCTTTTCCCTTTCCCCACTAAAGGGATAGCTTGGAAAAATATTATTATATTAAAAAGGAAAGAAATAATATTTAAAAAAAAGATAACTAAAATAAAGTGGATTAAAATAATTGCTAGTTGAAATAGAAAATAAACCTAGTTTGCTCATTCCAAAACTGATCTGGGGTAATGATGCTCCTCTAAGAGCTCAATTTCTGAGTTGGTTGGTTTGGAAAGAAAGGGTAAAAACTGCATATTATCTTAAGAGCATTGGGGTGTTGAAAAGTAGTGTGGAGAATGGTATTTTGATCCATCAGCCCCAAGTTAAATAGCAATACCCCATGTTTGACTGAGAAAGCTGATGCCTTGGTTTGGAAGGCCTCTTCAAATGGGTTGTTCAACACTGCTGCTGTCTACAATAAACTTACTTCTGGGCAGGTTTTACCAGCCACTGAGCTTATTTGGAAGAACGTGTCGCCACCAAAGGTTAAATTTTTTTGCTGGCTTGTTTGGAAAGGTAGAATCAAATCAAGAGCATATCTTCAAAGCTTAGGGCTGATGGATCAAAATACCAGGTCTGATTGTGTTTTTTGTAATGAGGAATTAGAATCTTTGAACCATGTTATGCTCCTATGTCCTGTTGTTTGGCAAGTATGGTCAAATCTACTTAAGTGGTGGAGGATGCAATGGGTTTCACCTCAAAGTGTTGTAGGCCTGCTAGATTGGTGGAGAGGGATTAAATGGAGAAAAGTCGAAGGCATAATCTGGAAGGTCATCCCATTGGCCACTCTATGGTCTGTTTGGAAGATGAGGAATGAGTGTGTGTTTAATGGGAAACAACCTTTGATGGTGGAGTTGTTGGAGCTGATTAAGACAAGAGTCATCTTATGGTTTAAAGCTGAGTCAAGGGATAGTTTCTACTCAGTTCAGGAGCTGGTGTTAAATTTGCAGCATGTTAGGCAGATTCTATGCTAGAAGGTTTGCTGCACTATTCTACCTTGACAGAGTTGGATGGCTGTGTGTTAATTGCTGCACTATTCTTCTGATGTTCTGTTGTTCTGTGTTGGACGGTTTCAGTTCTGTTCTGAACCAGATCTGTTGGTCTGCCTCTGGTTTAGACACTAATCTTCAGTCGCTGGTTGTTGGTTTCTGGGTTGGGCTGATCTGTTGGATTCTAGGTTGGTCTGCACTTTGGTTGGTCTGATCTGTTGGTCTGCTCTCTGGGTTAGGCTCAAGTCTGCCTTGTTTCTCCAGCCTTGTTGGTCTGCACTTTGACTTGCTGACCTTCAGAGGAGGGAACAAATGCTTGCTGAATCTAACATAGTCTTAAGAAGGAAGATGGTGCACAGTCTTGTTTAGGAAGAGGATTTCATCTATGCTGCACCAGTCTTGTTTTTGTGCATTGCTGAAGTGGCTTGCCGTTGGAAGCAAGACCAGTCAGATTTGGTGGTGTTTAAAGGTGATTTTGGAAATGAGAACCTTGCGGAGCTAAAAGTCTGCTGCTTAGCCTTGGAATAAGTTGTTTTGTCTTGGTGATTTGGTGATGATCTGTTGATCTGTTGGAAATTAGCTGCTAAGCCTGCTGATCTATTAGTCTTGGTGATCTACTATGCTGCTAGTTTGCTCTGTTATGGCTGTAATTTCGTTGCTAATGCTTCTAGTTTTTTTGTTTTTCTCTTTTTGTTGGTTTCTCACCAACTGGAGCTTCGAACTTGAGCTAGCTCCAAGCTCCTCTATATTGATGTACTCTATCATATTTTTATGTTTTCATCAATATAGATTTATTTTGCCGATCAAAAAAAAAAGTAGTGTGGAGAATGTGTGCTTATTCTATAAGGTAGAGGCAGAGAGTGTGAATCACCTATTTCTACCATGCCCTGTCATCTGGAAGGTGTGGTCAAGATTGATCCAATGGTGGGGTTTACAATGGGTATCGCCTGCAAATGTTAAAAGTCTTCTTCATTGGTGGATGGGTGTTAAATTTAAGAAGATATTGAAGAAGATCCGGAAATTAGTCCCAATGGCTATGATGTGGTCAATGTGGATCAATGTGGAAATTAAGAAATGTGGTCAATGTGGAAATTAAGAAATGAGTGTGTGTTCAATGCTTGTCAACCAAATTTGGTGGATCTTGTAGAAATTGTGAAAGCTAGGGTGGCTCGATGAGCAAAAGCTAATATGATTGATGTTCCATACTCAATACATGATTTAGTGGAGTGTCTTAGACAGATAAGGCACTATCAGTAGGGGTGGGCTATCCGATGCGTCTTTGCTGCAGCATTTTGTAGCCTGCTAGTGCTGGCCTTTGTTTATCAGTTGTTTGTTGTAGGTTTCTCACCAACTTTGGCTTGAACTAGCACACGATTGGGGTCTGCTTGGTGCCAACCTAATTAGGATGAAGTTGGATTGTATGATGCTTGTGCTTTTGCCTTTTTTTATTTGTTGATGTATACTCATATGTAATGTATGTTTGTTATCATCAATAAAAAATTTCCTTTGTTGATTAAAAAAAATAGAAAATAAAGATTACAAAGTTGGAAAGTTAATTTTAGAGTTGATAAGAAAAGTTGCAGAGTTGGAAGCTTGAGATGATTCAATGATCAAAAAAATGAGGCAATTAACACTAGTGTATTGTAGAGTTGGAAAGTTAATTGCAGAGTTGATAGAAAAACTGCTGAGTTGGAAGTTTGAGATGATTCAATGATTAAAAAAAAAAATGGGGCAATTAACACCAGTGTATTGTAAAGGTGAAAATTTAATTGCAGAGTTGATAAGAAAAATTACACAGTTAGAAGCTTGAGATGATTCAATGATAAAAAAAAATAAAAAATGGGGTAACTAACACCAGTATATATGGGGTAAACTTGGAATCACATATTACCCAAACCACTATAGTGGTGGTTTATGGTGGTTTGGGGAGAGAGGTTGGCAGTATTGGAAGAAAAGGGATAGATGGATACTATATGGCAGGAGAGGAATCGACAATGTGAGAATGGTTGAGGGGCTACCCAGTGATGGAGGAGGGAAAAGAGGGTGGTGACTATAGCTGGTGTTAAATTTTACGTCTTGTTCTACTTGGTTAGGGAGTGGAGAATGAAGGCCATGGTAAATTTCTCTTCTTTTGCTTTGTTTTGGTTTTGTTAAAATTTGATTGTTGTTTTGTCATACCAATTCTCAATTAATGTCACAAATTTCATCAATTTGGAGAAAATCCATAATACTAGCATTTTAATTTCAAATCATATGAGAGTGAAATGACTGTTTTAAACGATGGGGGAGTTGAAGTATTTCAAGGACCAATTGAGCTACTTGAGTTAGCCACTCTTGTACACTCCTATCTAGGATGTTAGGAGTCAATATTTGCCATAGGTAAATGTTGATTATTTATTTTACCCTCTCAAGGTTGTATTGAGTTGTTATATCTATCCATTGTGACCTACTACTATTTGTAGTGATTGTTGGGCTTGATGGTTACTCTTTGTGATGGTTGTTAAATTTGTAGTTATTGTTGGATTTTAATTGTTCAATTTGATGTAATTATTCTCATATTTGTAATTGACCCACCAATTGGCAAAAACAAAAACAAAAAAAAAAACAAAACAAAAAATAAAAAAAGAAGAACTATTTCAGGGTGCCATGGGGTAAAAATAAATTATGTCCTAAAGTTAATAATAACACAAAGATACACCATGGCATAGGCAAGTATTCATGTAAAATAACTCCACATTGATTCTTCTCTAACCATTTATCTTGATTATGTAAATGAACCCTTAAACAAATATTATGTACTCATAAAAAAGACTAAGAAAAATAAAGAAATGATGTAAATTTAATAAACGTCACATTTAAAATAAATCTAATATACACAATTCAAATTTTAAATATTTTAATATTTACTTACCTTATCCCATATAACTGCAAGCGTATCAAAAAAGAAATTTGAGAATCCTTTTTTCATCACCCGTGACTTATAAAAGAGAAAATATATTTTGCTCATTGCAAACAACAAATCATAAAAAATAAATAAAAGCAAAATGCTTAAAGCATATCTACAATGTTACAAACTTAGGCAAATTATTAAAAAAAAAAAAAATTATTAATCTCAATCACTTAAAAGTGTGATATATATCTCATTCATTTTAAACCTACACTATTATATAACTTATTTTGAATTAAAACTTAAAATAAATTTTTATGTTTCTGAAATATATTTGAAAACCTATAAAGAAAGAGAAGACATGCAAAAGAAACAAAAGTCTTGCACTGATGGTCATGACGGCATCCAAACAAGACTGACTGACAGCAACAGGAAAGAAAAGATTTCCAGAACCAATTGAAAAATCAAAATCAAGAAAAGTAAGTGGTATGTTAAAGACACATTTGCCAATGAAATCCACTTAAACTTTTTAACTTTTATCAAAAATAAAATATATATATATATATAAATCACCCAAACATGTCATTAACTAAGCTACGTACCTGTACTTTCTTGCGACCTTTTTCTTTCCTCATCACTATCTCTCCATCTTTTTTGCTTCACTGATGAAAATTCCCATCTCCAAAAGCTTGCTGGCTTTTCGGCGCAGCCTTTCTTTCTGATTCCAATGAGCTCATTTCAATCTGCTCTCTCTGTGAAAACCCTCCACTCATGCTTCTCACTATCTCTCCAACCCCTAGAAAATCTCTCGTCAGTCTATCAGACCCTCCAACACTCACGGAAAGGTTGTTGTTATTCTGTAATTTACTCTGATCCATATTGCCAAAACTTGAGCTATTATGGTGTGTTTGGGTTTGTTCTAAACTGGGTTTATTTGCATTGTTGTATCCCCCAAAACTGTTTTGATCTTGTTCATGTGCACCCACAAATGCATTCCCACTTCCAAAAATGTTGGAATTGGCACCAGCAAGAGAATTCATCAAATCTTGGAGGTGAGTTTCGTTGCTGTTGTCCCCGAAAACGCCGCCAAAGTTGGCGGCGATGGGCGATCGATCGGGTCTGTTGCCACTGGAGGAGGAGCTTCCGAAGCCTCTGAGTAGGGAAGCACTGCTATTGCTTGTGGTTGAACCCATTTGAGCAGCTTTTTGAAGAAGCGCTGTCGCAGACATATGCGAAGCGACATTGTTGTTTTGGAGTGATGAGCTGTAGAGAGAGTTGATACCGGAACTGATCTGGTTTCCCATTATGCTAGAGCTAGAATGTCCATTGTTGAATTGATTCGGAACAAGAAAGCTCGAATTGGTGTTGTTGTTGTTGTTTTCGATGCTGGTGGTGTTGTTGTTGCTGCTATTGGAGAAGAATCCGAGGTTGATGACACCGGCATTTGTGTTGTTTTGAAGATCAGGAAGTTGCAGTAGTCCCTGGTGGAACGGCTTGTTCGATAACAACCCGTGTTGAGACTGAGTGTCTTCTTGATAATCTTGATTTGGCTCGGTCATGAAGAAAGGCGAAGACATCGATGGTTGCAAATCATATGAGAGTGAAATCCGATGAGATTGTCGAATTGTCCACCCCTAACACCACCAAGACGTAGAATATCGGTAGGTGGTTGGTTTTGATCTTGTAATGGGGAAATTTGATGACCCATTGGAGATGATAAGCCTAAGCTCATGTTGCTAGTCCCATATAAATGGCTTCCGATGGTGCTCAAGGAGGGTGGATGCCTCGCACTCTCTTGGGCAAGTGCATCGCAGAAGGCCCGGTGAGTGATAAAACTGTCGCGCCTGTAAAAATTAAAAAATCAAAAATCAAAAGAAAAATGAAGAAAAAAATATTGAAGAAAACAAAGAAATTGTGAAAAATACAACAATTTCATCAATAAAGATAATATATATATATATATATAGCGATTATTAGTGACATTACAGGATTATAGCGTGGAAGTCGTACTCTTTACAGTTTTAGATGTACAAGACCATGAGATGGGTACCGCACAACCACATATGATAAGGCAAAATCACTCCCTACGGTCAAATTGAATTCAGTAGGATATCTGTTTCACCTTTATTTTACCTTGACATATGATGATTGGTCCCCAACTGGTTGTGGTCCAATTCTGAATGTGGGTTTCCATGGTTGAGAAAACAAAGGAGAGAGATTCATTTCAGACGAATTTTACTGACTTTTTAGCTTCCCAATTTTGAAGAGTTTAAAGAGAGACGAATAGGCTATGGAATAGTACAGAAAATAGAGGGGAACCCATATTATTGGGGCAAAGATTGGGTATAACAGTAATATCATGCAGCTGTATCACTAATGAATGAGAAATCTTTGAGTGAAGACTACATTGTTAACAATGTATCACTACAATTTCAAGAAAAAATATTACATTTTATTGAAGAATATTAAAAAAAGAAGGTGGTAGTAGCAAAGAATTTGTTGGATTTGCAGGAAGAGTTGAAACTAAAGTTTCCCAATAAGACAAAAACATAATTGAGGGAGGTTGGTGAAAGAATTCTAGTTAAATTTTGAAAATGATTGATAAATCAAACAAGGCCTACCATTTTGAGGTCTGCTTTATAAATAAATGTAATACAAGAATTTATCTAACATGATGAAAATGGATCCATCAATGGAGCCAATTTTCTAGGACTTCAATTGATCAATAAATGCAAAACCCATGAACTGAACTGTCTGATTTTTCAGTGGAGTAATTCAAGAACCCATGAATTGAAAGCATTAAACCGGCACATTTTCAAAACCTTAAAATCAAGAGTACTACTATACAATTATACATACAAAAAACTTTATGATTGCATTGTAAACTCACCCATATGATTATTAATTGCAAAAATGTAACCATCAGGTATAAATTTTATGCAAGAAAATAAATACCTTTTTTTTTCCCCCCCTATAATCAATTAAGCCTGAAAACCCATATGACTGCTTCTGAAAACAGCAACAAACACAGCTTCAAAACTGAAGCCATGGTGACACAGACATTCAATTCAAATAATTGAGAGAGAGAGAGAGAGAGAGAGAGAGAGATTTGGATTTGGATGACTTGGTTCTTCTTGACTCACTTATCATGAAAAGGAGTACCTGCAAGAGCACAGACCTGAGCACATCTAGCCAACCCATAAGAGAACAATCTTGGTAACTATTATTACCTTTTACATGGCCATGTTAATATTGTAGCAACACGTGAATAGGTGAAAAGGTAAAACAATGATCGAAACTGGCGGTGTTCCCGAGGTGAGAGAAATACTAAAACTGTTTATTTATTTGTTTCTTTTTCTTTTTCTGATTCTGAAAACATCTCTCTCTATATGGCCGTGCCAGTTTCCAGAGATTATTCACGTGGAACCATTTCGCTCTCCTCTCTCCTACACAGTACTCACAAAAAAATCCAAACACAAAAACAAAAACAAAAGCATCACATGAGTTCAAAAATCAAAAAAACCAAACAAAACAAAATGGAATCGTTTACAAGAAAAATAAAAATACCCATCAAAAACTAACGTTTTAACATATAAAATTTTAGACTTCTGATACTGTTTACCGATATTGATATATATCTTGATACAGTTATTAAAAATTACCATGGGAACTTGAGGAATCTAACAAGTCCTAAACAAAAGAAACCAAGAAATACCCAATGTTTTGTCTCTCTCCCTCTTTAGAATGAGAAAAAATTGAAGCCTGAACAACAATGATTTTGATAATCAATCAGTGTCAAAAATTATGCGTAGAATTCATTCAAAATCAAAACATGAAGAAAGAGCAAGCACAAAAAAGATTACCTTGAGAAAAGAGTTCCACAGTCACATCTGTACTCCCTAGTACCACAAGTCTTAGTGTGAGCTTTCCAGTCAGATTGCACAGCATATTTCTTAGAGCACTTCTCACACTTGTATTTCTTCTCACCATGTTTTCTAGAGTAGTGCTTTTTAATGCCGGTGAGGTCGCCAAGAGCTCTCGAAGGGTCATGGTGGACACAAGTGGGTTCAGGACATAGATATACCTTCCTCTTCACCTCTTTTGTTGTCTTCTGCTTTAGCTTCCAAGGCAGGTTGTGTCCTCTTCTGTGGAGCTGTAGGTTTTGCTCCCTTTGGAACCCTTTGTTGCATACCTCACACACAAACCTGTTTGTAGCCATTAGGGTCTTGGGAGATAGTGCTATGACCTCTGCATCTGGATCTGTTGTCAAAAATTCCAGAACAACAACCAAAAACAGTTTCAAAAAAGTCCCATATTAGAACTATAAATTTAATAATTCAGTATATTAAAAAAAATATTTTAAAAAAAAGGACCTTTAAAAAAAAATACCCATCTCAATTCCTATTTGAACTTTCAAACTTAGGGTTTCCTTTCATCAATATATTTTGATCGGCAAAAGAACAAAATTTTATTAAGACACAAAAAAAAAAATAAAATAAAATACATAGATATGTTTTGATATCTAGAAAAAGCCCATTTCATTTATGGTGTGGTAATTTTTTTACAAAATTGTTTTTTTTTTTTTTTTTATCGGAAAATATAGAAATTTTTTGACTAAATTGTTTGATACTTGCATGGTGTTCCGGGCTGATTTCTTCTCTTCTTCTGGGGAGGTACAGTGGTGGCTCCGGCTGATGAAGTTGGAGCTGCGGAATGCTGTTGTTTCATCGGATTCTGATCTTCTTCTCGCATTCCAAAGAACGCTGCTGACGATGAAGACGCCGCCATCTTCACAAGGAAACCCTGTCTTCTTTTGTGGTGATGATGTCTGTGATGTTGATAAGATTTCACTTGTTTCTTCACACAAACCAATCTAAAATCTATGTAATCCACCAAGGCCACAAGCAATTCAAGCTCTCGTCTCCTCACAAATCTTTATCTGAAACTCAAAACCTGAAAAATGGGCGATTTGAGCGAGCTACTGGGTATTTATAACTGGAGAAATCTGAAGAAAAGTTGTTGAAATATATATCTGGAAAAAAGAAGAAGAAGCTGAAATCAAGGCAAGAAAGAAAGAGAGAAACAGAGAAAGAATGAGAAAGAGAGAGAAAATGAAAAAAGAGAGGGAATCAACCCATGAACACTTGATGCTTTTCCTCTCTACTGCATCCCCTTGTTTTAAATGAATTAGTTATTGAAAAAGTGGTGATGCTGCTGTGGTTCTTCCATGATTCGGTGTCATGCATATACACATACACATACACACATCATTTCTCTCTCTCTCTCTCTTATTTTTTTTCTTTTCTTTTCTTTTCTTTCTTTTTTTTTTTTTTTCTTTTCTGAATTTTCTCAATCCTTCTCTACATTAAATGAAATGCAAATTATACATCTAGAGAGAGAGAGAGATAGGGATAGAGATAGAGAGATAAAGAGAGAGAGAGAGAGAGGAGGAAGGTGGAGGTGTTGTTGTTCATGCTGCCTCCAACGCACCCTAATGTGTCCATATGCGGCTAAGGATTGGGTCCACCGACCTGAGTAGGCCGTAACCCCCCCCCCCCCCCCCCAAAAACCCCTCTCTCTCTCTCTCTCTCTCTCATATTTCGTATCTTCTTACGCATCACTTGAGGACAAACTTACTTCATCACCTCCTCCCTGGCCCCAATAAAAGAATTTTAAACTTAAAATTACAAAATAACTAGTCAATAATCAATATAGTTTATTAACATTAAGGTTTAGTTTGGAGTAATTTTTGTCTTTTTACGAAAAGATGTGCAGAAAAGTAGAAAGGTGATGTGATGGAAAAAAGATAAAAAAATAAAAAGATGAATTATATAGGTTATGCCAAACCAACCCTAAATATAGTAAAATGAAAAATATTGGTTCTTTTTTTTTTAAGGGTATATTTGTGTGTAAACATATACATATACATAGATCTGTATAATGTTTACTGGGGTGTGTTTGCTTAATCTTGAAGGAAGGTGGTGTTTGGGCTGAAAATCAGTTTGTATGCAATCTGGGTGTTTTTGACTCTCTTTTTGACTATCTCAAGTTTTTCAGTTACCATTCAATAAAAAAATAAAAAAATAAAAAATTATGTGGTCACTATCGACGAATGAAAAGGATAATTATGTCATTTTACAAAAAGTAAGAATCACATTCAGCAGTCAGGACCCACGACAAGACCTAATCCAACCACTAGAGATAAACAATCACACTGAATTTGATACACACACAAAAAAGAGGTAGCATTTCGTACACTAAAAAGTAGTTTGAGATAAATAGTACGAAAGTAGGATTAGGGCTAACAACATAGCGGTTTTTTTTTTTTTTTTTTAAATATTTTTTAAAAAATAATTTAAAAAATTGACTCACATTTCAAATTATTTAAAAAACTTAATTTTTAAAATCACATTTTAAAAGTATGATTTTAAAATTAAAATTACATTTTTAACATATAATTCCATCTTGAAATTGCATATTGAAAATATAATATATCTTAATGAAATTTATATCATCATAAATTACATTTTCAACATGCGATTTCAAAATGAAATTGCATGTTAAAAATGGAAATTCAATTTAAAATTGTAGCATATTGAAAATGTAGCATTTTGTATACACGCACAATAATAATTTTTTTTTCAAAATTTAATGATACATAAATGAGATTATTTATTAATAATTAGAGAAAATATGACAAAGAGAATTATCTTAATATCTTAATGAAAAATTATATACAAATCCATTTTCTCGATCAAATAACGTATAAGTGATACGATTGGTTGATGATTAAAAAAGATATGAAAGAGAGTATTACCTTTAATATCTTAATTAATTATCACATCACTGATCTTGAAAATTTGGCCTAATTTTTTGTCTTGAATAACAATGATCTATTATAATTCATTACTGTATCATCGGGTTTGAAAAGTGGATAATATGATTTTTAGACTAAAATAGCAATGCCTAATTAAAATTTAGTTACAGAATTAAACACATAAAATTTTTAATAAGAGTATTATTAATATAGTTTTATAAATAATAGTCTCATTTAATAACATTTATAAAATAATTTTTTAGCTTATTTTTTTATAAAAAAAAATTGCTAATTGTGTTTCGTTATAATTTTAAATAATAAGTTATTAATTTTTTTAGTTATTTGGTATTAAAAAAAAAGCAATTTTGTTAAGTTACACTTTTTATTTTTATTTTTATCTTATTTGAAATCATTAAATAGGTATGAAAAAAATTGCTCAATATCTTCCAATCTTAATTGTAAATTTTGAAATTATTCTAGATATTTGCCCACACTACAAAATATAAGAGTTTTATAAATAATTTCTGAAGTAAAAATTTTGTTACAAAAGACATTTAGAAATTAATTCCTATCGTCGTGAAGATAGTTGCTAAAAGATCGTTCCAAAAAGTCAAAAAAAGACTTTTAAAAATAAAATTTTAAAAATGTCACTAATAAATAGACTTTTAGGGGCAAAATAATTTTGTCTCAAAATGGATTATATTTTGAGACAAAAAATTTAGTCCCCAAAAAATAATAATTCATCACTAATGTCTAATTTTTGTTACTAAAAATATAATAACGACATCATTCGCAACAAAAATATTTAACCTCTAAAAAATAATTTTTTCCCTAAATTTTAATTTCTAAAATCTTAATTTTTTGTAGTGCCAACAAAGAAAAGGCTATGTGAAGATTAACGTAACTGAACCAGGGTAGTTGCCCAAGTGGTCATGGACAAGACATCTACGTACCAAAATGAGTGAAATTTTTACATGAAGAGACGTGTATCTATTAACATAATAATCACTATTTTGGGGGAAGGGGGGGATGGATTATTAATTTAATTAAACATGTTTAATTTTTTTCGCACATTAAAAATTATTCCAAACATATTTACAACTTATTTTAATTCTTAAAGTAATCCTACAATTTATATTTCACAATTTTATTTATCATGACATGACAAGTTATGTGTTAATTTAACTCTAAGAGAGTTGGCTGAGTAGAAAGAGAAGGCAACGAAAGGGCTTAGAGCATCGGCAATGGACATGTTAGTCCACCCATTAATGTCAGTTACTAAATTTTAGCCAGTCATTTTCACTTTAAGCTTTACAGTGGAGCTGTTAAGGGCAACGTTAGTGGTCAAAGTTAGTGTCAGATGTTAAATAGTGTGTTAACTACAGGCAGCGTTTTAGCCAGCAATGGAGAGAAAGGGAAGTGCCGTGGGGTTGTTCAGCCGATTGTCTCCTCAAACGTCTGGACCCTTGAAGTAAAAAAAAATAATAATAATATTTGCTGTTGGCCAATTGACCGACCGGACGTCCAACCCAATTCCTCTCCAACTTTTGCTACGTATATATGTAGATATATATTTTGTAACACACCCTACACACACTTTAACATACCCACTGCATCACCACCCATTCTCTAAAATTAACAAACTCTTAACATACCTTAACACACATTCTTGGACCCCACTTTTATCATTTTTGTCATATAACACACTTTAGTAAACAATTTTAGTCCTCCCATAGTGGATGGTCTTACTACCCAAGAGGTGGCAGAGTCGAATTCCACAAAGGCCAAACATCTCAAGCCTTGAGGCCACTAAAGTTTTTTCCCATCATTAACTTCAAGGCCCCAAGATTAGTCGAGGTGAGTATAAGTTGGTTTGCGTACCCGGTTTAAAAATAATATAAAAAATAAAAAAAAGTTATGTGTAAAATTTTAATTTGTCATAAATTTAATCATCAACTCCTTATCATGTCTTTGTGGATGATTTGTAAGAGTTCAATTGTGTGTTTCTAGCATTTCTTTTTTAATTATCTTAAATCGATAATTTAAAAATGTAATAATTATAAAAACTAACTTTTAAGTAATATGAAAATACTCATCATCTACGTTGATTCATGTCTAATTTTTTGATCAATTTCTATATTTGTAGCAGAACTGTAAAAATAACCGTTAATTCTATGTAATCACAGCCAAATCATGGCCCTGCATTTTATTTAAGCCAAAAGTGCATAATCAATTAGAAGAAATATGCACTTAATAATGTGAAAAGTGAGCAATTCTATCCCTTGATTGTGACTGTTGTTTCCAAATCGAACACTTTTATGCATTCCAGCTTTAAATTCCCTCAAAGAAGGTGTGTATAGCTGAGGATTAGGATGGCCATAACCATTCATTTAAAAAGCTTTAAATTTAAAAAAAAAAAAAAAAAAAGGACAGCTCAACCATAACTGCTTGAATCATTTTCAAATCATTTTCTTAATTCAATGTCTAGGTAATTTATTATGTGGGTATTTATCACTGATCCTCTTGTACTAGCCGAAATTTTACTTCACCATACTGAAATTCCAACGGATACTTGAAGTACATATGGATATGTAAATTGGAGTACAAAAAAAGGATCTACACATTTTTTACCATTTTGTATCGCTAGTGTACATAATTTTTACACAAATTTTATCACCAAAATACACAAAAACAAATTAAGATTCTAAATTAAAAAATTTAGAGACAAAGTCACTTTATAAGAACAAAATATTTTTGTTGTTAAGCGTATCATTATTATATTTTTAGTCACAAAATTAGATATTTAGTAATGAATTGCTATCATTTCGGAACCAATTTTTTTATCCCAAAAAAAAAAAATTTGGGACCAAATTATTTTGTCCCTAAAAAATTTGTAAAATGTCATTTTTCTGACTTTTTGGTCCCTAAATATTTTTGCAACAAAACTCTCATTTCGGCCAAATTGGCCAAAAAAAAAAAAAAAAATAGTCCTAAAACTCTTATTTGTTGTAGTCGTAATGTATTTTTGTAATCATATAGTATTAAATAAATGGATACTTTTTTTTCTTGTTTTTTTCAAAATAATAAGTTCACAAAATATAATAGTATTAAAGACCAAGTTTTTTTTTCTTTTTTCTTTTTTTTTTTTGCTAAGGCTTCGTTTGTTTTAACATAAAATATTTTACACAAAAAAAAAATTCTTGTAAATTGATTTTACATAGAAAAATATTTTTGTTTTAATTTTTCGGCGTTTTGTTAACACTTGGGATCTATTTGTTTTGACGTAAAATGTTTTTTTCAAAATATTTTACTCATTTTTCGTTGTTTAGTTGAACAAAAAAATAAGTAAAACATTTTTTAAGAATAATATTTTTGCATCATTTTTTTAAAAATAACTTACCTTTAAAATTTTCGTAACAATTTTGATAAAGTTGAATATCACTCACTACTTTTTTAATACATTTAACCTTTTCAAATAAAGATTTTAGCTCATTAAAAAGTTATAAATGACATTTTATTAAAACAAAAAAAAAATTAGGCAATAATATATTTTTGTTTAGGTGTCAACCAAACGTTGTAAAACCAAAACAAAAACATTTTTTTTGTGTAAAATCAATTT